CCCTTATCTCTGTCCTTTATGTCGGAGCGCTGCCCACCGATCGCAACGATAAACGATCAGATCCACCTACGGACACTGTACGTCAGGACCTCTGCGGACGATTCTCCTGTTAAATATCATATATAGAGAACCCCATATCAAAAATGCCTGGACAATGGAAACAAAGTCCTCAAGGAAATCGCTGGTGAGTCCATGCATTCGGTGGCGAGGAACACCATTGAAAACAAAAATTCGGTTTCAAGGTTCCCTAGGTGACACGGCAGACTTGAGCAGCGACTACGACAAACTATACCGCCCGTTTACGAGACAGTCGAAACTCACTACTACCACGGGTGTCGGGAAGACCATAAAGAACCTCGTGGGCATCAACCTATCACCGGATCTAGAGATAATGAAGGTCGGACGCACAGAAGACGAGGATGACGTCGCCTACGAAAATTATTTCGATGTGGCGCATGGGCTCATCGTTGGCGCATCGAATTACAACGATATCTTCTTCAACATCCCCACCAGCAAGCACCCCGACCCAGACCTCCCGGAGATGACGTCGGCTAACTCACTTCACTGGGCTCAGTTCGTCGGGGAGCAATACAAATCCCTCCGGGGGTCTCTTGCGGACCTGCAACATATACTTCGCTTCGACATTGATAACAAGGTCACACAGGGAATCATTAAACAGGCACTCACTGTCGACCCTCCATTACCCGTCCAGGGAAAGTGGACGGTGATAACCCCGACTGGGCCGACAGAAGATTTGTTCACAGCGTTGTTAGGAACGAATAATGGTCAAGGAGCTGGTTTTATGTTAAAGGACTATAAATCTACTATGCGGGGCAAAACGATCCAGGCCATACGAGTCCAAAGCGACGGCCGTGATTACCACATGATAATTGATTATTCGTAAGTATACACTGTACTTGGCGTTTATCGAAATTATGTTGAGGTCGTCAAAGACTTAATAACCATGTCCTGTGCCAATGTTGTTTCCTGCAGGTTGTTCGTATTGATATGGTTCTACTGATAATCGAATAAACAACGAAATTGAAAATTTTCCTACGACCATAACATCAACCGCGGCCGTGGCATACTTCAACTAAAACATCGGCCGCTTCCTTGCCGAGATGCCGTCGCTTGTCGCAAACACTCACCTCGCCTAAACGGCACAGACCCCCATCAGGGGAGAATTCGAAAATGGGTGGAGAGGTATGTGTCAAATTTCTGGAGCACATTGTTTCGCTGATGGATCATTCTCGTTACCCATCCATTATCGTCTGCGCTGCGTTCCCGCGCGGAGATCGGTCCCCACCCTCTAGACGTTCCGACGACCACTTTCCGCCACACGCAGGACCTGATGTGACTAACATGGGTTGGCAGGGACTGTCGGCGCTCTGTGAGGCGAGGTGGGATACAAGCCGTGGTCTTCCTTGAGCATCTGTATGTTGCATACACAATACATTTGATTCCTTGGCCTGTATTTTGTGAATCGTGAGCTTCAAATTGCCCATTGCTCTGAGGTTAAGGGCGTACTCTCAGAGCAATGTACACTACATACCCTACGTAGACTACACTGCTACAAGAATACGGAACTATATCGAGCTACAGAGTTGTCGCGTGCTGCTATGCCTACTATATGGGGATGTGTCAACGACGCCAGACTCAGAGTCAGACTCGTCGGCTAAAGCGAAAGAGTTACGCCAGAGTCGATCCAGTCTGGCGCTGGTGATCCCGGCAATCGATGAACGGCAACTGTCGGCATGATGGCACGAGAAGGATCTTATTTAGATACTTTACAATTACTACAAGGAAATGTAGCTAGAGTAGCATTTGCAAAGTAAAAATGTACTAGGCATTTCGGAGTGTGCACCAAGAGTACCGACCATTCGATGCCCCTCCCCTCCCTCGCTGCGCTCGGGGGGTCCCCCGAACCGGGGCATCTCAGGTCAGCACGCTAAAGACTCGTTGGCGCTTTCTCTATGAAATTAAACCTCTCCCCCAAGAAGGCCGGGCGGGCACAAGCAATCCGGGGAATCAATAAAGAGGATGATCCGAGTCTGATCCGCACTAACCGAGTCTGGTGCATGTGCTCGGCTAGGCACGACTCTGGCGCAACTCAAGGGCAACTCATGGACGAGTCTGAGTCCGGGTCTGGCGCAGTTGGAGGATCCCCCTACTATATGACTTGTAATAGGGGGTAAACGACAGCGCTACACCGACTACCAGAGCTATGTTGGGCTATGTATGCATGGAATTTTTCCTGATGCCTTCCCCATGAGAATCGAGATGCCATGTGTACGATTGGTATCCTAGCATGTTATTCAATGCTGGGACACGCTGGCGGCTACGAATATGGTTGTGTCGAGTCTTTGCCATTGGGTACTGTACAGTTTGTACTATTTTGACGATAAGTTCACGCCATGTCACCTGTCGCCCCACATGTTCATTTGCCTAGATCTAGTAGATGTTCGAACTTCGGCAGTCATGAGAAAATTCCCATAAATGGTAACGCCGGAGCAGAAATTTCCGCATTTTTGGACCGATTTGGGCCTGAAAAATGATTCGTCAGGTAGGTTCAGTTCACGACCTGTCACCTTTTCATTCTGAAATCCGGAAACTTGACATGCACCTTCAAAACAACTTATGCGAAGTGGTTCACACCAATTTCAATGCAATCTTCGCCAGAGCTTCCGTTGGGTGTCCCCTTGTTCGACTCAAGGCCAGGAAGTGTCCACTGTCCACAACTCAATTCAAGACGAACTCCTCTCGAATCGGCCGACGCCCAAACCAATCGAATATATTATTGGATTCGATTCCAGGGGTGACGCGAGCACTATCCGGCACCCTAACATCCTATAGAGTCATAAGATAGACTCGTAACCAGTCTGCTACTGCGGCATTTCTTAGTGCAAGCACTTTGCCGCATCATAAGAAGGAAAATCAACCTGGATGCTAGATGAGTCACGTCGGATTTCAAGACACCCTTCATGCGGGAGTCCCTTGTCGGACTCAAGGCCAGGTCATACGTACTCGTGGATCTATATTTTTTCTACGCACCCACTCGGCACTGGCTCAACTTCACAACTCACTCCAATATAATCTGTCCCAAATCAATAGTAAGTCATTTAATTCCCGTATGCACGACCTGCGCGCCTGACTCCGACGATCTAGTCCGCCCGAGAATCGACAAACGACGACACAATCATCAGATAGCAAATCAGACCTGAATGCGACTCGGGTGCTGTTCGCACCCGATTTCGACATTTTAATAGTGACCATGACGCGAATTTCAATTGGGAGTCTTGTTGGACTCAAGCCGGGTCGTCCGGGTAATCTAACTTGAGCTCTCGTTTTCTTGCGGCACCCGAACCCAGCGTCTACAACTCGCCCCAATACAAGCTCCTCACGAATCAGCTGGCGTCTAAAACTAATCCATTCAATGGCAGGAGTTTGGCCCGAGCACTATCCTTGCGATAACTATTGAGTCAGACGAAGGAAGATCAGACCTGGATGCGAAGTGGTTCATGCCCGATTTCGAGACACCTTTCATGCGGGAGTTCCTTGTTCGACTCAAGGCCAGGTCATTCATGTGGCCGATTTGAACACTCTTTTTCTTGCCGCACTTACGAAAGAAAACCCAGCGTCCACAACTCACTTCATCCAATACGAGCTTCCCACGAATCGGCTGACGCCCAACCAATCGAAGAGAGTAGTCAATGACCTCGATTCAATGCGGAGTTTGGCCTGGGCACTATCCAACACCCTGAGATCGACGAACAACTAGAAGGAGAAGGAAAATAAGACTTGGATGCGACGTGGTTCGAGCCCGATACCCGTAAAATCCTCTGCGGCGCGCCGCAATACGATGACGCGCCAGATCATTCTGCCCATCTGGAACGATGAGATCCGAGCAGAGGCGACAGGCTACGGTGAGAGATTACGTGTCGGATGCGTTTTGTGGCGCGGAAGGATGACGAGGGCTTGGCAGCGTGTGGAAGCGCGCGAGTCCCATAAATGAGCACATTCAATTTGTGGTCATGGCGTTCGTCCGGCGCGGGATGTGCGCAAGGGGGTGCGAGGATTCACAAACACGGGATTTCGCAGGAAGTTTGGACGCAGATGGCGCGAATTGAAAGAGGGAACGGTGTAGCGTCAGCCGATGGGGGACTCGAGAATACGCGCAGATTGTCTGACCAGCTCGCGCAAGGCGCCGGTGTCCACGCTCGTTACGTTCGGCATTGGGGTATGTATCACAGGCCTGAATTGAGGAGAATACAGGAATAAACTGAGGGGAAAGCAATCAGATAGGATAGGGATCAAGGATATCGAGGAGTGCCCGTATTTTGAGTTTGACTCGACAGCCGTGCTCCCATCTAGTACGTCCGAAGGATTCCAAGCAGAGATCGGACGAGAATGTTTGTACATGACGTGAATAAAAGGAATCCAGACAGCGATTTGAAAGAAATCAAAAAAAAAAACAAGGAGAAAAAGCCACGCACACCCATCCATTCCCATCTCCTCGTTGCGATCAAGTTATTGTGGCCTCAGGCCTGTGTCACATCTTCACCAAGGATCCCGCGATTCAGATTGGAATACCCAGGGCGGAGATGTCAAAATTAAAAGGGAGGGCGATCAAGAGATCCACGATGCGGCGACGCACAGAGACGATAAAGGTTCAAAGGTGAGGTCAAGCTCAAGGATCATGCGGAGGACCAGTCGGATCAAAGTCGGATGTCGCGTGTTGTTTCTTTGATGTACGGTCCGGTTTATTCCGATCCGCTTCTCTCTGGACACTTGCTCTTACGCTGGACTTGCGCTCGACCCTTTAGCCCTGTCCCAGGTCGAGAATCCAACGATGACTAGTTCCGGGTCCACAGATAAGTAGAACTTGAATGCAACCCGAAATGTGCTGCCGGATTTTCTATTCCATCGGTGAGCCTCCACTTGCCATCGCCTCAGGGTGTGGAATATGTGCCATGGTTAACGCGCATACGCCGCACTTCAGCGACCCCTTAGCTCAGTGGTAGAGCGTTGCATTCCAGTTTCATCTCGTTAATGAGTGTTGTGTCGCAAAGGCCGTCCGTTCGATCCGGGCAGGGGTCAACTTTTTGGCCCCCCCCCAGTTCTCTTTCCTTACTTACCTTCTTCGTCTTCAGCCATCGTCGATGTCTTAATCCTCACACTACCATTCGTAGGGGCGTCTCAGAGTTGTCGAATACTACCGCTAACTTCCTTCGCTGACCAATTAGACAATCGGAAAATCGGATAGTGAGGATATATACATTATTAGATACCTCTCAACCTAACTTCTCGTTTGTATTGCTGCAGGAATGTGTGCTGCCTCCGCATTTTCATTCGCGATAAAGATCAGGATGCTCAGTTCCGCTTACTACTGCACCCTTACAGCTCCTATTTCTAGAAAACATTAGCCCGAGATTAACGCGAATTTTTGGAAACATCAAAAAAATCTGAGTGTCACCCCACTGAACCTGTGGTCAGTACCGTGTGAAGGCCCGGTGGCAGGTGGTCCCGCACCCGAATTCCCTTGTAGAAACCTCTCTAATATTGCAGTGGGAAGTCGCTCGTTAGATTCGAGCCCAGGATATCATCAATGTCTGTGTTCTGTTGGTCCCAGATCTCCTGAATCTACATGGTACTATAATGACACTTGGACATCAAAATGCACTCAATTCTTGTCCGATCGTCCAATGGTAACAATGGAAGAAATGACCCTCGGGGGACAAAGTCGACGATCTGCCCAGGCGCGATGAGCTGGTTCCTTGGTCTGAAAAAAAAAAAAACCAGTCGCTATCAAGCTTGGCGAAATTTACCGCTGTGAGGCAAGAGTAGAGTGTATATTATTCCGAGGGTGTTTCCCAATTTGTATCTATTTCAGTCCATTGCTTATACTGGAGCGCTCTAGACTCCCTGCTTTTTCTATACCTCTCTGTACGTTGCACCTCCCTCCTCCCTTTTCCCCAGATCACCATGGTCAAATTTACACCACGCATTTCAGACCAACATTTACTCTCACTGCGTCCGAACGCTGTTCTGTACTCAGATAATACTTAAGAGGGTGAATACCCTTCCCGAGGAATCGAGCCACGGAGGAAATCCCGACCGCATATTGCAGCGACCGAGCGGCCAATACTCGATGGTACAGACCCCGTCAGACAATGTAGTGTAAGATTCAAATGAAGGTAATAATAATAACACTGCATCGAGCGACATGACAGGACGCAAATTCCAATGGACGTCATTTTTCCTCTGATAGCTTTGTAGGACCACGTGCGGTAATATCTCCTCATCCTCCTCCTCCTCCTCCTCCGTCCCCTAATTGTCAATGGGTGCACGGACGTGAAGCTCCGCCGCAGATGCCTTGAGAAGTTGCTACTGAGGAATATCCATTCATTTAGAGTGTACGTCTCGGGCCATAGGGGGGGTCAGAGCATCTGGATCGATTCTGACTCGATTCGGAAGTCGATTCCGATTCGATTCTGAGCCGAGAATCGATCCAGAATCGACGGCAAACTGTGACCACCCCGATTCTCTCTTCGATTCTCCGGTTTAGACTCTCTCAGCACCCATGCTCATTTGATTATCCTCTGACCGTTATATCTCATCATTGAGCCCGCCTCTTGGCCAGTCCGGAAGTTCTGCTGTTTTTTTAGTAGCCTTTGTGTGCACTTTTGAGGCCTTCGGGGGTTTAGCAGGTTTATTGCCAGTGGTAGTGCTTTGGGGCGTTGGTGGCACTGGAGAGCGAGCGGTACACAGGAATCAAGAGGACATAATAAGATTTGAATAAGATTTAAATGAAGAATTAAGGTTTAAAGGGCATAAGTGAAGTCCGATTCTGAACTCAATTCTAAAGTCGATTTTAAGATGTTCCGAATCCAGAGCCGGAACATCGATTCACATCGATTCTCGAATCAGAATCGACTTCCGAATTGAGCCCAGAATCGATCCGGAATCGAGTACTCTGACTTCCTCTAATATTTCGCATTCCTTTGTGGGCGTCGGTATCGGCCAACTATTCGCAGCTCGAGCAGTATTTCCCTGAAGCACGATAAGTAACGAAGCGACGGTGTCGATTAACATGTATGAAACATTACCCCAGGCTTGCTTTGTTCAGAAATACAAGGCAATTACTTAATTGAAGCCATTTCGGGCATCTCGGGAGAGTTGGATTAGCGAGGTTGTAACCTTAGTCATACCCGCAGATTCTGGTGCCAAGGTGGGGGATGAATCTTAATTGGTTTTGCCATCTTGAAGCGACATTTACGAGTGGCAGGTGCCCTCCCTTCACCTACCATCCCGAGTGTTGCACCGGGATTGAAGATCCGAGTCTATTTTGCTTTCTCCACTGCCTCCGCTTCAGGAGACGGGTAGATTATCATCAAATGAACAGGCTGCGCGCACGTCAGCGGGCCAATTAAGACACAAAGATAGCGATCACATAACGGACTCCGCGAGCAGCTGAAAGCCGATCAGATGGCACCCGACGGGGGCGGATGAGAAACCTGGTAGGTTCCCCGCTTGGCGCCAAGGATGGTGGGAACGAAGTCATTATATTATTGGATCTCCAAGCCTATTCGCCATTGAGCTCAACGATGAGAGCGGACGGAATGTGGGGTGGTGGAAAGAAATCGTTGTCATACGAAACAAGGCCGACCCTGCGGTTCATCCAATTCGGCAAGGTTCAAGCGAGTAGTCACTTCACTGGTGTCGCAAGAGTTACTCGATTACGTACAGCCTGAGGGGTTCAGTGTCGCTGTTCACACGTAGCCTTCCGCTGGTGTCCGTCTCGGGTAAGGGGCTGCCTCATCGCGGAGAAGGGTGGTCATAAACCTCCGTGCCTGGCGGAATCACTAGTTCCCCATTGGTCACGGATTAGTTCGGCGACGGTCAAGACGCGGTCTCAGAGCGCTACACTAAAATTAATGGAGTTGATTGCGTGGCTTTGTATACATGGCCCTCCATTCTTTACGAAACGCGGGTCTAGGGCAGGCTATGTGCCGGGGGTATAAATGCGCTTCCTGCAGTTGCGCGCACACTAAGTCTCGCACATCCTCACTATAAAGCAATTCTTCGAAAATGTCCAAATACATCGTTGCTGGTGCTAAGGGCGGTAGCACTCAAGGTGCAGCCGCTCCCAACCGCATTGAGATCAACGATTTTGTCAAGATCGAGGACCAATTTTCTCTGTATATCCAAGCGCTTCGTACGCCGTTTCTTGGGTCATCATTGTGGCTTTAAATAAGAGAATGTGGGCAGAGAAAATCTATGGGCAGAATCAACCGGACGTAGACTCTTTCTTTTCCATTGCGGGCATCCACGGCCTCCCTTACCAGCCATGGGACGGCTCTGGTTCAAACGCTGTCGATCCGGAAGATCCCGAGGCCTGGCAGGGATATTGCACCCACGGCAACGTTCTATTCCCTACCTTCCACCGTCCGTATGTGATGCTGTTCGAAGTAAATTTTTGTTTGGAAAACCAGTGCTGAGTAAAACTGATTTGATACACAGCAAGCTTTACAGGCGGCAGCGATAAACATCGCCGCCACGTACGCTGTCGACCAAGATCGGTTCAACAAGGCGGCTATGGAGCTGCGCCAGCCGTACTGGGACTGGGCCAGCAATTCTATCCCTCCCCCGGAGGTTATATCCCTCGACCAAGTTTCCATTATCGCTCCGAATGGCCAGACGATTCAGGTCGACAATCCTCTCCGTCGCTACACTTTCAATCCCATCGACCCATCCTTCCCGGATCCTTACAGCGGTTGGCCGGCGACCCTAAGGCACCCTGACACCACGGATCCTGATGCGACGGATGATGTGGAAGATCTTATAAGGTATTTCAAGAGCGACATCTCAGCGTGTGGTCCCTAATTGGCAATATAGCACGTTGCAGAGCGCACAACGCCACCTGAGGACCAGTACCTACAATCTCTTGACGCGGGTGCACACCTGGCCCGCATTCAGTAACCACACCCCCGGAGACGGCGGAAGCACCAGCAACAGTCTCGAGGCTATCCATGACGGTGTCCACAACGATGTGGGCGGCAATGGTCAAATGGCCGACCCTTCCGTTGCCGGTACGTATCGGCTTTGCCAAGAGTTTTTGATGTATTTACCGGCCTGGATTAGCCTTCGACCCTATCTTCTTCTTGCACCACAGCAACGTCGACCGTTTGCTTTCCCTGTGGTCTGCTCTGAACCCCGGGGTCTGGGTAACGCCTGGCGAGGCGACCGGCGGAACGTGGACGATTCCTCCGGATGCTCCTGTTGACAAGAACACTGGCAAGCAGCTCCATGAAAGATGTCCTTGCTGACTGACTGACGGATCACAGACTTGACCCCGTTCTGGAACTCGCAGAGCACCTACTGGGTGTCTTCGGCCGTCACGGGGACGTCCCAAGTCGGTTATACGTACCCCGAATTCAACGGGCTCGACATGAGCGACCCGAGTATGGTGCAGAGCGCCATCGCGCAAAAGGTTAACCGGCTTTACGGAGGGGGCAGTAGCTTCGCCCCGATTTCGGCTCTGAGCGTCTCTCCTGCGGCATCCACTTCCTCGTCTGCTGTTGCTCCAGAGGTGCCCAAGATCAACATAGCTGCTGCATCACCCTCCAAATCCAACCCTGGGCACGCCCCGGCGTCGGTCCCGGAGGCGCCGGCCAGCCTTGTGCATGTTGCGGCGCCCCACGACGCTGAGGAGCCCACCATCTTGGATTGGACTGCGAGGATCCAAGTCAAGAAGTATGAGGTTGGCGGTAGTTTTTCCGTACTGCTGTTCCTTGGAGCCGTCCCAGACGATCCGAAGCAATGGCGCTCCAGCCCCAACTTCGTCGGCGCGCACCAGGCCTTCGTCAACAGGTGCGCACTATTATTCCCGGCCTATGCAGATCACTTGTTGAATTCGGTGGTTATTAGTGTCCCAGAGCGCTGTGCGAATTGCCACAGAAATCGGGACGCCCTGGTTGAGGGTTTCGTGCACTTGGACGAAGGTATCATCGAGCACTCGGGTATGGGCGAGCACGGGGGTCTGGGCTCGCTGGAGCCGAACGACGTCGAGCCATACTTAGAGGAAAATCTTCACTGGC